AAAATCATTTAATAAAGTAAAGAATCCAACACTTACAGGAATATTGTATACCCATCCAATTGTATCTGATTCAGTAGTGACACCTTCAAGAGAAGTAGTTCTACTTGTATCTATATCAAGTCCCAATCTTTTAGCAATATTTAATGACATTATAGAACAATTTGCACTGCTATCAAGGATAGCACTAGGGATTCTTAACTTATTGATTCGGCATTTTATAGTTACTACATCACTAGCTGGTTTTCAGAGGATATTAAATACCATAGGTTCACTAACATTTCCAATAGCTGGTTGAATATTAGAAGTGTTCTCAACAGGCTGTTGCTCATTCAAAGAAGTATTTTCATGAGATGGATTTTTTACTATTGTAATGAGATATTCTTAAGCTCTTTCATATCAGTTTCATAGACATCCCAAGTTACAATCTTCTTTTTAGGTCTATTCTTCATCAGAGGACTTTTTTTTTTTTTATGGAATTTGTAGTATATGTTTCATCCTCAGATTCATCCATAAATTTCTTTGTATTCAGTGTTATCTTGATCATTGTGGATGATATGCCTAACTACTTTTTTTGTCTTCTTAGCACTTTTTTTAGGTTTCTTCTTTTTAGTATTAATTCAATTCACAATTCTTCTAGGAGTACCCACTGGAAGTTGTCTGGAGAGATTATAAAGAATATAATCAATATCCATAGGATCATCAGGACGATTTTCTTCATTATCAATATATAGCTTTCTGGGCAGTGTCTCTAATATTCCTATATCTATTGATTTTTTCAAATTTTGGATTGGATTCCAGTTCAACTTTTCTTTGCATAATGCAATCTATTAATGATTCTATGCCTCCAATGTTACCCTGATTATGCTTCAAAATATCTTTACTGTGATTTATAATATCTCTGGTCATGTTATATGTATCTAACCCCCTTTTATCTAAAGCCCATGTACCTGGACCATATGTATCTTCAACATAAGCTTTAGGATTGACTTTATAATAAGTTGGTTGAACCAGTTGTTGAACTGCTTGAGGTGTAATATTTTGAATTGGTTGTGGAACAATATTTTGAAATGGTTGTAGAGCAATATTTTGATCTGGTTGATGATAGAATTGAGTAAATTGTGGATTTTTAGCTAGAGAAGATTCAGGTTTTCATTTCATCCAGATATTTTTTAAAGTAGTAAAGAACGCATTATATTAGCAGGCCCTGCATTCTCCATTCTATTAAAAAGATCATTAGGTAGATGTCCTAGAAGTATATTAATAATATTAGGATCATTTTGCACAAACCCAATCAAATATGGATGGACTTTTCTTTCATAGCTATCTGGTGTATCAAAGGCTGTGAACTTTTCTTGCATTAAACCACTTAGAGCAAATTGCATAGTTCCAATAGTTTTGAATTTCTCGTTAAGCCATGTGATAAAGTGTACATCTGAATCAATAGCCTGATTAGCATTTATAGGGAAATCAGCTGGAATATTATCAGGTACTGTTGCAAACTGCCCGCCCATTTTGGATTTCAATATATTGAGATATTAATACTAGCATTTGCTCGATTACCCACCACTACATTTCCATCAGTACTCCAGGCCCATACTGGAGATAAAACCTGCATAATTTTTCTGATAAAATCATCAGGTGTCTCTTGACCTACAAAATTCGAAATCTTTGCAATTTCTGGTCCAATGACCTGCATAGCTTCTATAGGTGTAGCTGTTGTTGCATGTTTTGTAATGGTTGACTAACTTGTTTATTTATTGTAAATTGTTTGTGCCATAAGGATCAACAAAGCTTACCGTGTAGGTACAAGAAAGAGGCAGTAAGCAAAAAAATAGTTTAATAAACTCGTAAGATAAATTAATTGACGAGCATTGAATATAAAAACTTGCAATTAAATCGACGAGTGTAGCTAAAAAGCTGATTCGAATTCGGCCATAAACGTAAAATAATTGCTACCTCGCAACCCCAAAGCATTATACCAATGATAGGTTTCTATTAAACATTCTAGTAACTAGAGAAGTTTGCAAAGAAAATTTTGATCATTGGTGGAGTAGAAGCTCAATATAAGAAAATTTTCTACCAGAAATAGGACATTTACATATTATCTACAAACTGGTAGTGTATGTGACTACAAAGGTCTGTGAAAAGGGATGATGTTGATCGTGATAATGACGAGAATAGTTGGTGTTGACCCCAGAAGAAGGGTTTTATTTCTTAAACGAATAAAAATAAATACATACAAGCTATTATCAGAGGCAGACATTTTGATTTTTTAAAAAATTAACAATAATCATTACATTTCAGGTTTACCAACACCTTCCATTCCTTCAGTCCGTGGTTTCCGAGTGCAGTATCTTTCCGATACACTTTTTTATATGGATAAGGCTCCAGGCGACGGATAAAATGTGCAGGAGGATTACCAATAACGAAGAGGAAACTGTTGTAGCATTTGGGTAAATATTATTCATCTTTACAATACTAATTTAGTATATTATTTTTTTTCATTTTATAATCACAGCCATGCTCCATTTTCATCTAGTTCTAAAGGACATGCCACTGGTCCAGTAAAGCAGCTGATGTAGAAATTAAGGAAAAGATGGGAATAAAAAATTATTAATGAATTTAGAACCAGAGGGATTAGTTAGTAAACTTCAACGGTTTTGGGCGTTCCGAACATCCGGAATCGTGATTTTAAGGAGCATATTTTTGTTATGAATGAGAAAGGCCTGAAGTTTCAGGAGGGAGGGACTTAGACTGACCCCACTGCTGTACGTGATTGTGGCTAGAAAATCTGGCTAGTGCAATTAGGGATTTCTTTTTCATCATAGTTGATTTTACCTGTTATTATTCAGAATGTCAATTGGAATTGATAATCATTTAAAAAAAATTTTTTTTAATTATAAAGAATTCTAAATTTTAATAATGTATAAATATTTATCAAGATCTTCATGCCTTGTTAATGTAAGAATATAGCTATCTCTAGCTATATACAAATTATTCTATAATTGACTTAATGTATAAATATATATATATCCCATAGATCGTAATTCATCAAAATATTAACAAAACAGTTACACCCTCAATTTTTTCATCGTTTGGAC